GAGTGCGGCGTGCACCGCGGGCTGTCCGGCGTGAGCTGCTGGGGGGAAGCGGTGTGCGTCCCGGGAACGGCCGCACGCCCCGGGGAGCCCGCTTGTCCCTGCGGGTGCTCGTGAGCCGCGGCCACGTCTTACCGGGAGAAGCCTCGTTTCACTCGGCCGCCGCCCCCCCGGGGCCCTTCAACCACGGACTCCGAAATGTTGTGTTTTGTTTGGCGTTTTTTTTTTTTTTTTTCCCCTCCCGGCTTTTCACGTGGGTTTTAAGAGGATTAAATCTGATGCAATCGGGGGTCTAAGAATAGCGGCGTCCACGTTTCGCGGCATGTGCGAACTGTTTCTGAGCGGCTCTGCATGTGCTGCTGCACCCGGGCCGTGGTGGCGATGCTACTCTGCGGGGGCTCCCCGTGTTCCCCGCGGGTCCGTCCGACTTTTGCAGGAATCCTCTCGGCGCTGGTGAGAGCGAGTCTGATCGGGGAGAGCCTGGGTACTCACAGCTCTTTTGAAATCGATTTGAAATTGGTACACGGTGCCCTAACCGCGAGGAATGGGCTTGCTTTAGTTGCAGGAAAGCGTGAACTTGAGTAATATGTAAGTGTGGAAGACAGCAAGTCTTCATAGTCTTCATTGGCTGGCAGAGTGCTCCGTTTGTGTTTCAGTGGTAATGTACCTCGAGAATGTTGCATGTGGAATAAGATTCTTCTTCGTGCAGCCAAAGAAAGCTATAGCCATTTTGTAATTCAGTTCAAATTGTGCCAAAAACATTTTGTTACTCCTGGATGCATGGCTCCAATCTGACAATCTCAGTCTTCCAAATTTCTTCCTAAATTCAAGTTTCTCCATTTCAAATGCTACTTCTGTTTATTTGAAGAGTTATTCAGTTTCATTCTGTCATCGTTTTTCCTGTAGTTTCACTGATTTCTCATTTCTCATTCTATTTCTGGGTGTGAAGAAGCCTGTGACTATCAATATAGAAGCAGAACACTCTTTTCTTAATACATGACAAACAGTTAAGCTTGCTGCTTTAAATAATGATTGAATTAGATCTATTCCTAACTGAATAGTCATTAAAAATCAATTCAGGATGAGTGATGCCCTTGTAAAAAGGGTTAATCTACATTAGAATTGGAAGTTAGTGGTTGAATGTCAAAGTCCTGTGCGGTTTGCAACTGTTAAGCATCTCAGAAAAAAGTATTTGTAGTGGAAGTGTAGTGAGCATCGGGAAGCATCGTTACTCTTTGCAGATGTAGCACTATTACTAGCATCTCTCTTACCTTTGGGGCACATAGTTATCTTCAATTTCCAGACACAAGTTTTATCTTCTGTCAAGTTCTGCCCCTGCAGTGTAGCTTGTTAAGCCGTGCTCTGCTTTTCACTAGGTGCCAGCCTGACTTAAATCTCTGGTAAATGTGTGAGGGGCAGATATCTCCTGGCTCTGAGAAGGGAGTGAGAGAGTTACTTGAGGTTTGTTTTTTGTTTTTTTTTTTTAAGGATCCAGGAAGGCAGACAGTTCACTGGATTTATTGGGGGTGGGGTGGGGGGGTGTTCCATCTGCCTAAAGAACGATAATGCAGCTGTGGTGAAGTTAGTTTTAATGACAATTATGCTTTCTTCTGCTTTATTCTCTGCAATCCAGACATCATTCATCTAGGCTGTGAGTTTTATAGCTGGCTAAGAGCTTGAAAGTGTATTAGTACATGGACTTGGTCAGTTCTGTTGTCCTAGAGCCAGACTGAAGAGAGAAAGAAGGTTCTCTTGCTTCAATGTTACCACCCTTTCTTTTTGTTCTTTTGGATCAGGTCTTGAACCGTAGGGTGAAGGTTTCTCCTCACGGTGCATGGACGGAAAGCCAATGCGCAGGTAAGATATGGAAAACAGTTGTTCTTTTACAACTATGATACATCATGTGAGCTGTTTTCATAAGTGCCTAGGCCATGAAGTGTTCTTTGATTTTTGTTTTTTTTTTCTTTTTTTAAAGGCCTGTCTTGGAGTATTGGAATGTAAAGCATTTATATTTAGTCCTTACTTAAATGTATTTAGTGTTCAGTATTTTCAAGACTAGATGTCTTTAAATGACTGTGCTGTTAAGAAGACAAGTTATATTTCTCTGTTCCCCCTCCTTACTTCCCCCCTTTACTGCAGTATTTAATAATTAGGTATTCAAATTGTGTGGAATAAATTGCCTTGGAATAATTTTGAAGTTGATTTCTGAGGGGCATTCTTTTTCCTATAGCTAAAGCAGTTTAGTCCCTTTGATGGGCTGAGGTCTTGGGTGAGAAGATTTCCTTTTCTAATTGCAGATGCCAGCTGACTCAGTTCTAATGATCTGATGATGCAGCTGAGTTTAATTCAGGGGAGTTCTTGCTGTGGTTATGTCAGAAATGTTATCTGTTATATGGAGAAAAAATTGTCACAGTAAATCAGCATGATGACATGTTGGCAAACAGGATTGTCTGCTAGTACTTGTTGCTTTTCACTATATGATAGGAATCCTATGGCAAAACTTAACAGCTGATCTATTTATGTATGTGACAGAGGCTGTGTGGAAGCAAAGTTTCCTGAAGTTCTACAACTCTAAATGACAGAAAGAGAATTCAGGCAGATTGCTTATTCTGCCTGCAGCCTTGGGGATATTGAAAGCAGGGAAGCTATTACAGATAATTCTGCAAAGAGTCCTGTAAGAAAAGGCAAGGAATTTTAACCACAGGTTAATATATAGAGCATTTCTGCCCACAGTATTTGCAGAAACCATTAGCCTGGGTTCTGTGTGGTGGAAGGAGGTAAGAAATAAGTAGTTGTTTAAACCCTTGAAGAGTGACACTTGTTTAGTTAAATCAACCTCTCGAGCACAACAAAAAAATACTTTGGTGCTCCTTCCATTAAGCGAATGACTAAATCTTGGGATGTGTTGTGGGCATCAGTGGGGCTATGTGTTGTTCAATATTTTTGCCAAGATAAGAAATGTGGTTTAGACAGTGAGGAGCTGTATGTGACTTTTACAGTGCGTTCCTTTTTCTCCAAGACAGATTAAGTTGTAGACAAGCTCTCTTCCATCTTAGTCTTCTACAGTGGAGACTGTTTAAATCTTAACAGCACAAACCCACAGCTTTTCAGGTTCTTACATTGTACTCCATTTATCAAAATGTTTTTGCAAAGTGACATAATGTTGATGACTAGCTTGGCTTGTATTCCATCTCTTCTATTTTTTTATGTTCCTAGTAGAAAAATTGAGGATCTAAATTTATATCTGTTGTTTTCTCCTTTGCTGCAGAACGTTTCTGCATGTTACTGTATTGAGGCACAGAAATAAAGTGCTCAAGTTTGTAAGTCTTCTGTAGGTTTGTGGCCTTGGAGTTGCTATTGTCAAGTTCAGTCTGCTACTCAGACTAGGTAGTTTTGATGGTGGGCAACAGCAAGGGGCTGAAGAAATAGTTTTTCTGTTGTGGTGCTGATGCTGGTACTTCAGGTTTGTGGTTTGTTTGTTTTTAAATTTAATTTGGATATTGGATGCAGACCAGGCTTTTCAGTAGATTTTGTTTTTCTTGCATCTCTGGGAAGCCTTCCCCAAGTAGAGCATGGATAATGTTTGACATATTTACATGGCTTTACTTCTGAACTAACCTTTCAGCTGGTGGCTTTGCCTTGATATATTATGTTGCTCCAGCCTATCCTGACAAGCACAGTTCTTTTGTAATCTGTGGACTCAATTTTTCTTGCATGTTTCAAGGGCCTCTGGGTGGATTGTTAAAATTTCTGTGTGTTATTCTACTGGGTGTCTTAGCAGAAAATGGTAAAAGGTTCCTGATGGGATTTCAGGCTTGGAGATATTCCTGTGGTCCAGCTAAGCAGATGGCAGAGCACTTCCTTTTATCCTTTTACTCGGGGCTCTGCAGCCATTTCAAGCCACAGGCAAGAGTCCTGTTAGATATTGCAAGAACTGGGGAGTGAGATTTGGTCAGTACTGTGTTAGTGAGTTTGTGTCAAATGTGTACATCATTCTGAGGGTACGAAGTACAATTTGAATAGAAAAGGAATTGCAACTGTTCTGTCAAGATGACAGTAGAGAAAATGTGTTGATATTCAAACAGCATCTATCTTGCAGTAGAAATGAAGTGATGGTTTGGGCAGGCTACTCTTTTCTCACTGTCAGGGAGCAGCAAGAGAGCATTGTTTTGCTGAAGGTAAAAGCAAGGCAGAGGGAACTTTTCTAGTGAAGGACATATTCTCACAGTACCCAAGCAAGGAGGACAGAGCACATCTGATGGCCAGGGTCAGTCCAGGGAGTCTGGTACTCATCGGGCAAGTCTGTAGTGATGGGGAAGTTAACCAATTCCTAGGATGTGGTTCTTGCCCAAGTCAAACTGCAAAAGGCCTGAGAAGGTTTTTGAAGACTCCAGTACTGACCTCATCTTTCAGAGCACATGCCTCCTCATTCTTGGTGAAATTGAGTTTTCTGGTCTTGATCAGTGAAAACTGAAATAAGTAGAGACACACACACACACGAGATCCTGGCTGTTCTTTTGAGTAATGTGAAATAATATTGCAGTCAGGTTTATCTGCTTGTTTGCATAACTCAACCTAATTGAGAATGTCTACCAAACAAAGTTTTGGTACGTAAGAAAACCTATTAGTGGTATTTTTATTAATAATCAAACTTTTAGCAAACCAATTCCTAAAGTATTGATTGCCACGGTGAAGAATTTCCATTTACTTAGTTGGCAGTGTTGTGATGGTCGCTTCTGTTGCTGGATGTATTGCCTTCGACTGGGCCAAATCAAAGAAGATCTTTGTTTTAACAGTTCTGTAATAAGTATAGGAAGTATTTTCATTATGTATCTGTTAAATTTAGAGCAAGTCATTGACAGACATCACTACCAATTTGGCTGGTATCTTCATTTGCTACTAAAATCCATTGCTTCTGAAATCTGTTAGAGCAGTGTATTATTTTGGGATTTCAGTCAGTGTTTTTCACCTGAGACTTGTTCTGTTTCATAAGCCTTAGGTTAGCCTGTTGTTTTCTGCTGAACTGTGTTAAAGCTTCCTTGTGATCTCATCCTAAAAAATACATGATCTTAAAAAAAAATGCAAAGCACTCTCACTTGAAAGTTAAGAAGCTCTGTGACAGTAGTGGAGAGAATTTTTCTTAAAAGTATCTAATAACACCTATCTTTTTAACTTTGGAAGCTGCTGCTCCAGGGACAGATGTCTTCTAGAAGCCTGTGTTGCTAAAGTTTTGGGAACTGGCATAGGTGAATAAAATGGAGGCAGAGAAGCCTGTTTATTTAGCTGACTGTTAATGTTGCAGACTGCCTCTGTTCCCATTTGTCCTTTTCAGCAGTGCGCAGCAAGAACTGGTCCTTTGTCAGCCCTTTCTTAATCCCATTGTATTTGCTGATTTCCCCAGCCCTGCATTTTGATGGAAGCTAATCCCAGAATATCTGCATAGCTGAGTGTGAATCTTTTATCCTTGCATACACATTTCCTCTCAAATCCTCAACCCTTTTTAATCACCCTGAGTATTCAGGAGCAGCTCTTAGCTTTGCATGTGTGTGTGTAGGCAGCTAGCCTGCCATGTGAGAATCAAGTGCTGCCTTCTGTCTTTCACACCTCTAAGCTACTGAGTCATCATTTCATTCTCTATGCATATATATGCATAATGCACACATAATGCAGTTAAATTATTATCCTGGTGGAGACACATGCCATCAGACAGTGTCCTTTTAATTCACAGTTCTGTGCCTGTGTACAGCAGTAACCCACAGTGCTTAACGTCAGGCATCTGGTTTGATCCAGTGTGAAATTCCCAAGCTCATTGAACACAAGCTTCTGCATTACCCAGAGATAACTTATGGATGAATCAGGAGAGCTAATTTGATTATTACTCCTTTTTTCTATCTACTCAGTTTTCTTTAATCATTAACCAGCACTTTCTCTCCGGGAGGAGGGAGCCTGGATACAATGCAGGCACTCGGATAAACAGTGATGAAAACAATGCAGGAGTGACTCCAGTTCTTACTAACCAGCTTCCTCTTCAGTTAGCTGAGGATGTGTTCAACAGTCTTATTTGGCTAGAAAAATCCTGTTCTGTCCTGGCTAGGAAGGACCAGGACCACTGCCTAAATCTGGCCAGCTCTTCACATGTCATAAGATGGTCCACCCTATTGCTCTGTGTCAGCGAAGAGTCTTGGGTGGTGGGATTGACAAAGTACATGGTATTTCTTGTAGCATCTTAGCCTTAATCTAATATTTTTGTTCTTGGAATCTGCGCTGGTCTAAAAAGCTATTTGAGATCTACTTCTGGGCTGGTTTTAGTGGGGTTTGTCTTTGAGGAAAGCCTGCGGATGTAACGAGGGAGGAATTCTGCTTTCTGAAACCAGGTCCTGTTCTGGACGTAAGCCATGTCTTGTGATCTGTAGCTATGTGAAATGGGTTTCGATCTGAAGAATGTTTGTTCTGTGCTTAGATGTTTTGACTGACAGCTTGGTTAGGACAAACTGTCTGAAATTATTGCAGTAGCATGTGTCTTAATAGGGTTCTTAATTTTTCCTTTTTTCTTCTAGGGTTGTTTTAACATTGCTTGAAACCCGTAATGCACAATAAAATCCATTTGGCTTGCTTGGTGAGAGCTAGCCTCTGCAGGGGGGATTTTTGTCACCACCTTTCTCTGTTTCTTGGTAGAGAAGTTCAATTACTTACTCTCTGGCTTTAGCTGCTCAGGACTGTAGAAGTAAGCCAATTAGGTAAATTAATCTTTAGCCAAGGGTTCTTGGGGTTCTCGAAGGGGTACCATTAAATTTGGTTTGCGTATGCTGCTGCAAGGAGAGCTTAGCTGCATTGTTTGTGAGGAACTTAGCAGAGCTTTGAAAATGGTTGTCAAACCCCACAGGGTGAATCTGGGTTGTGAGGGACAAGAGTGGGTGGAGAGAGCGGGAAGCAATATAACAGCAGAAGGATTTGTCAGAGGTGTAGGAAAAGGAGAACAGTGATGGATATAAAAAAGATGGGGTAGGGATAAAACACCAAGGCATTTAAGGTGCAGAGACTGAAGAGGAGCAAGCAGCAAAACCCAGAGGGAGGCCCAGCTGGCGCTGTGTAACTAAGATATGAGGAAGAGGTAATGGTCTGAAACATCTGAATATGATGATCAAGGAGAGGGTGTGTGGGGAATGGGAAAACAGGCTAAGATGCAAGTGAATAATTTGAACTGCTGCAAAGAGACTGGTTTCCCAGTGGTTAGAAAGTGAATTTGACATAATAATGAGAGGAAAAGATGTGAGTGTTTTTTTTTTTTATTATTATTCAAGCATGCTGCAAAACACATTGAGCTAAAAAAAGTAAAGCTAAGTTAGATTTCTTTTTAACTCTTTACTATGAATAAATTGAGGTGTTGACAGCTCACAAATACCAGTGTACCAGAGAAGCTTGTAGTGGGTAGCATGTATTGGGTCTTCCAGTGTATCTCCAACAGCTAGTGCTCTCAATGGATAATTCATAATGGTCAGTATGCTGATATTTTGCTCAGTATGCTTTTATTGCTCTAAGTGATGGTTTTCCTTTGAATTGGGAAGAAGCAATAGTTTCCTGTATTTTCTTTATTTTCATAGCAATTGGTATGTCACTGGTGCTGATGCATTCTTTTAATAATTGTGCATATAAACCTCATAATAGCCTTGTGCAGAAACTCACGTGCTGGGAACGTGCAAAACGGTGTCTTGGTTACGTGTGTGCTGATCTGCTTATTTAGTCTGATTGCTGAGAAGAGTTGGATTTAATTCTTCCTGTTTAGCTCTGATTTCAGTTATCACACAGTAGTGAAGCCTGGGGTGTAGGCAGGCACCTCTGCAAAGCAAGGTATGCAATGTGTCATCTTGGTTCATCCCAGCAGAATGGCAGAAGGGCTTGGGACCACTCTGCATTCCCTCTCTCGTGTTAGTGGCATACATGGGGTGAAGTGTGATCTGTCGGCATTGTCCTACTCCTGTGCAAAGGTGTGGTGCACTTAAGCTGTGGCTGAGCTTACATCTGCTCAGGCATGTGAGGGATAAAGGAAAGGTACGTGAATTTCCATAAAAAAGGACAGCAGATAGCTACAACATGGCACATGGAGCTGGAAGGATAGTATATTTTTTCCTACTCTGTGCCAGAAACCTGGTTTATATGTTCTCAGGTGGTTCTGCATCTCTAAAATGGCAGTTTTGGCTTTTTCTTCCTTTTTTGGTAGGCTGATAATTGTGGATGCCTTCATTGTTTTGACTTTTTCCTGATTGGTCTAACCAAAATTGTGTTCTGCAGTTCTTAGTCTGCTGTTCTTTCAAAAATTTCACCTTCTTTTGAAATGTGCCAGGGAAAGTGGATTGAGTTGGAAGCCTTTTATTCAAAAAAAAAGAGGTGATGATTAAGTGGATATTCTGTGAACCTGAAAGACACTCATAGTAGGCTGCAGGCCATTTTAAGTTACTGAAGTGTCTGTGACAGTTTAGTGTGTACAGATACCACAGTGAGCAACCCTTTCAAAAATGTAGATAGAAGAACAGAGACATTTGGTTAAATTGTGTATCTGTAATTCTTTGCGGTGGAAATCTATCTCTAGTTCTGTCAAAGAGGACTCAAGTAACAATGGGCAAGTCACCTAATCTCTGCTTTGAGTCACTCTCTGTGAAATGGGGATAATAATTCTGTACCACACAAGGCTATTATGAGGTTCAGTTAATAAATATGTATGTGTAGTTGGATATTACAGCTGTGTGTCATAGAAAGCATATAAAAATAGCTATAAATAAGCCTGTTGCAAGCTGGCACTTGTTTACTTCTAGGTACGCCTTGGTTTGAGATGGATTCCTCTTTCATGCAATCATGTGCTTGTTTCCGTGTTCCAGAGTGGAGCTACCGACACCGCTGGGTTGGTGCCTGTAGCTGATGTGAGCCCTAGAGCTTTGGCTGACAAGAGGTGGTAGACGAGTTGACGATGGTCCTATATTGTGGCTTCCTCCGCTGCAGGTGTACCAGTACTCGACCAGGAGAGACCGGAATGGACGTGACCAGCCGTTGCACACTGGGAGATCCTAACAAACTGCCAGAAGGGGTGCCGCAGCCTGCTCGCATGCCCTACATCTCTGACAAGCACCCTCGACAAACCTTGGAAGTCATCAATCTGCTCCGGAAGCACCGGGAGCTGTGCGATGTGGTGCTGGTAGTCGGCGCGAAGAAGATCTACGCCCACAGGGTGATTCTGTCAGCCTGCAGCCCCTACTTCCGAGCCATGTTCACTGGGGAGCTGGCAGAGTCTCGCCAGACAGAAGTCGTGATCAGAGACATCGACGAAAGGGCCATGGAGCTGCTGATTGACTTTGCGTACACCTCTCAGATCACTGTGGAAGAGGGAAATGTCCAGACCTTGTTGCCAGCTGCGTGCCTTCTCCAGCTGGCCGAGATCCAGGAAGCCTGCTGCGAGTTCCTTAAGAGACAGTTGGACCCTTCCAATTGCCTGGGCATCCGAGCTTTTGCTGACACTCACTCGTGCCGTGAGCTGCTGAGGATTGCTGACAAGTTCACACAGCATAACTTCCAGGAGGTAAGCAGCTAGTATGCTGGAGTCATAGTGGAAAACGTGTGAAGGTGCCCTGGGAGAGCTTTGAGTTACTCAGTTTGTGCTTCTTTTCAAATCCTGCCTTCACATCTGCGGTGTGCCCTAATAGCGATGGGTGCCAGCTGTTATGTGGGGAGGAGAGAGGTACTTGTAAGACTGTTGTACTGATGGCTTGTATACAATCTGTTTCATTTCTTCCCTTAAAGTTGTGTGTGGAGTGCTGAGTGGAAGATAAGCATAGCTGGGTCACAGGTGTAGTTAGCTGGAGTTTGGCATTGGAACTAATGTGACTGTGTAATGATGTGACATGCCACTCCCCTTACAGAAATGTTCTGGATTCTACATAATTGGAGTGTAGACAAGTGTTAAAGTAAGAACAGTATGTCAATAGAACAACAACAAAAAAAAATCCCTCAATGTTGAGTTTAGGGACTAGAAAAGTGAGTGTATGTGGTATCTTACAGCTGCCTCAGTGGAGACTTCAACGCCATTGCTGTAGCAGAACTAGGGGTTTGCATCTATTACTCAGCAGCAGTTGTTTGAAAGTAATCCAAATGTTTAATTTTGTGGCTGACCTTTATAAACTCAGTTCTCCCTTCCTTTGTTAATTCTGCCTAGATGATTTCTGAGGGAGAAGAAATGCCAGCGACTGGTTTTGGAAAGGATCAGCATAATTAAGGAATCTGTGAGCAATAGTCTAAGAAGAGCTCTTTGCTGAACTGTTACGGCTGGGTGCAGAAGGGAGCCCAGTGCTTTTAAGCGGTGTATTTCTTGAGCCCTGGTTGAAAAGGCAGGAGTTTATGTATGTTTTGGAAGCAGCTACTCTCTAGGATTTTGCTCAGTGTGAAGGTCTGTTCCCCTTCTAGAGAGGTTGGTCTCTTGCCTCTTCCAGAAGCTGCACTCTCTCATCCCTTGGAACAGGTAGCCTGCTTCAGAGAAGCCTCCTTTCTCCACCTGCTTCACAGGTAGATCCTTTTTAAAGGTAGCATCAGCAGCCAATACTGGAGCTGCTAAATTTAGTTTCCCCAGGGAAGTGGCTGTATTTAAGTGCTGTGAGATTGCAGCTTGCTGACTTTTTTTTTTTTCCTCTGCAGGAAACAGGGGGAATTATATTAATTTCAGTCAGGTAGTAATTAATAAAAATATGAGCAGAAGCAAACAAAATTGAACTTGATTGTTGGACACCTTGAAGACAATATTTGGTACCTAACTGTAGACACATGACATCCGTTTGCTCTAAAAGCTGCAGTTAAATGCATCTTTCCTAACCATAAATATTGGAAAATAGAATTTGCTCTTTAAGAGGAGAGCTTGTTTTTTGTAGAACATGGTGATTTCCTAGAAGCTGTACTTTTTAGTTGGCCGTTTCATCTTCCCTGGTCTTGCTCCGCATTTTTTTCTTTCGTGCTTTTTTTTTTGAGGGGGAAGCGAAATTGTAACCAGACTGTCATGTACTTGGGGTACTTGGCTGTTTTAATAGTTAGATTTGTGCTCCTCTTGTTATTACATGAGCAGGACTTACTTAGAGGCCTCTGGCTTTTTAACAGCATAATGATTTTTTAAAAAATGTTTTAGCATTAACAGAGGCAGATGGCTGTTAAGAGCTGCTTGCTATGAGATTCTTTTCTTTTGCAGCCCCTCCAAGACAGCTTCCTATCTTCCTTATCTCTATTAAAGCACACAAAGGCAAGTTTCCAACTTGAGAAAACACTATTCTCCTCAAAGACGATGCAAAATTATAATTGACTTAACTGAGTTGTGGTCTCTGGAAAACAACTGTGTAGATTAGAGCACTTTTTTTGGCCTGGGCAGGTTTTGATGCCCCTTTCAGTGCCCTGGGAGTTTTGCAGCTCTTCATCCTTAATGATCAGTTCTATTGCTTTCACTGTTTCTCTGCAGACAGTCTTAGTGTTGCTGCTTGTTGGGATTGTATTCTGTTCTGCCATTATTTTCTGTCTGGAGAGCAGATTGGTTATTCCTGGTGGAACCAGTGACTTGGCTACTTAATCATCCTTTACTGTGGAGGCTGATAAAAAAATATGCTGTCCTCTGCAGAGACTGTCTGGTCATCATTCCTCCAAGCTGGCAAAAAAAAGTGAGATGGGAATTTCCTGAATGGCAATGTAAAATATAAACCTCTAGGCATCAGGCCAACCTATGCAGTTACTTTGAATGCAGTTTGAATTGCTTCATGTCCTCTGCTGTGCTAACCTCTAGTTCTATTAATTTTTATGTGTATTACTGCATTACATCATTAACTTCTTGGTAAAATGTTTTTCCAAGTTTTCCATTCCCCTCCATTTAATATATTGCCGAAAACCCCTAGTGAATCTCGTGCATGTAATGTGAAATGGCTCTATTAACAATTCTGATGTATGAGAACAGCCTTTGTATTTTTTTTTTTGTTTGGTCTCTGACATCTGTGTGAAGGGGAAAAAATATACTTAAGGATGAACAAGTTGTACCTTATGTGAACAGACAAAAATTGTGCCCCATGTTGCATACCCTGACATTTATTCTGTTTGTAAAAGCAGGACTGCACGTGAATGTTGTAAATGGAGCCCATCCAGCTCTTGTTTACTAACCAAGCCAGTCAAATAGACCATTAATATTAGGTAACTGTTAGTGTCTTGATAATTAAGTCAAAATAAGCCAAAGCATTTGAAATAATTATTTGTTTTACTGTGTAAGCTAACAAGTTGCACAGTAGTAATAACTTGGTTTGCAGAAGTGCTTCCAGTATGTTGGGTTTTGCAAGGCCATTGATGCAACTGGTGGAAGGGAGCATCTGGAGGACTATCCTGAACTCATACAGTTCCAGAGCCTCTGTTCTCAGAGCCTGAGGATGCATTTACAGACTGTCAGGGTAAAGTTTAGACATCAGCTAGTCTGTGTAGAAGGGAGGGAGAGTATGGAATAATGCTGATAAAGACCTTTAATGACCAACCCAGTTCTTACTCTTAAGGCTGAAGAATTGTGGGGCTAACCTTGTGGCTCTTACTGCTCCTGAGCCCATGGAATCTGGGATCCAAGAACAAAGTCTGCTAACTGATCTTGCTGTCTATTGTGTTTTTTAAACTATTTTCTGTTGTCAGTAACTTGTCAATTTTTGCATATTCATTCAGTGCTCTTAAGTAATTTTGTTAGGTAATTAAAAGGACTGCGCAGCTCACTGTTGTTGAGATAGTCATGTCAAAGAATGTGTATTTCTTTATGCTGCATATCATAAAATAAGTCATGGAATTCTGAAGTGGTCTCAAATGATAAGGATGAGTCAATACTCTGCTGTTTTCTGTCACTGAACCTCTTGGGGGTTACAGGCTACAGACTGGGACTGCTTGTAGATAAGCCACCCTGACAGTTATCAGTCAAAACATTTCTGCAGTTCTCTTTATTTTGTTTCTTGCATCTTTCCCATCTACCTGGTATCTGTGCAGAAGACATGTGTGAGCTCTGTAACTTCTCAAGGCAGTCACAGGCTGACTCGTGCTCTGTGGTGTGAGCAGTCCTCCAGTGGCAGCTAAAGCCTCTTGAGGAACTCAGTCACTCTAGGGTACTGAAGGAATTAATGTGTTTGCAGATTATCAGTGGCTTGAATTTCACAAGAGATCAGTCCTTAGGGCTTTAAGAGGCTCTGATCCCTTGTAAGTGCATCTGGACTTGTGCATACTCAGTGTATATTTAGAGCAAATACAAGAGGCAGGATCAAATGAGTCCATCTCCTGAAATGTTTTCTGTTCTGCCACAAATCGGCATTCAGGAAGGCTTTCCATGTTCCCTGCAATGCTTCTGGTAACTTGTTTCTGAGAGTCTTATTTTTGTGTTCTGTTACAGATTTCTTGTGAACAGAGCCTCTATTTTGATGCCGCTTTTCAGTCACGTATTTATCATCTATTCAACATTTTTATTTCTGCTTTATATATTAGACACAGCAAACAAGCAGACTGATTTTTAAAGAAGGGTTTTGTTTTTCCTGATCGGTGTGTTCTTTGGTTTAACCCTTGAAAAGCATCCTACAGAGAAAACTTCATGTAAAATTCCCTTTCACCTGCATCCCCATCTGAACATGTGTTGCTAGGGTCTGCATTCTGCTCTGGGCAGCAAACTCTTCACATGTTGCTGTCCAAACTGGTGGGTATTTGGCACTTCACTGGATCAATTAAGTGGACTGTATCCCCTTTGGAGTTACACTGAAGTATTAGTGTGGTACATGACAGTGGTGCTTTGGCCACTGACCTTACTTTCTTCTTTGTTTTCCTTTCCATTTAACTAGGTAATGGAGAGTGAAGAGTTCATGCTGCTTCCTGCCAATCAGCTCATAGACATTATATCCAGTGACGAGTTGAATGTTCGCAGTGAGGAGCAGGTGTTCAATGCAGTGATGGCCTGGGTGAAGTACAGCATTCAGGAGAGAAGACCCCAGCTGCCACAGGTAGTCTTAGCACGGTAACGTTTGCGGCCGCTTTATCCCCGGGAAGCAGAGTGAGGGCTGATGCAGTGGTGCCACAGCAGTGTCATGGTTCTGGGCGTCATGCAAAGCCTCAGTAATTCTCTGACTTCCACCTTGCACTTTCCCTTTGCCTAGGCTGGAAGGTGTGCTGTCTAGAGCCTTCAATAGGGCATTGGTTGAACTGTTGCCAGGTAGGGTTTGCCCAGCTAGATCAGTCCAGTTGTCTGTCCAGACAAACCTGCCTGCATTGCTTTGAGTGTTGTATAAAAAAAACATAGTGAATAAGAAAAAGCTTGCCTTTGTTTGCAATGTATCTTTAAGCACTGCTGTTTGAGTTATGCCTCAGCCCTCATGACTTACAGTGGAGCTCATCAGAATGGTTTTGTTGAAATACTGTGCTTCATCTAAGCCAAGCCATTTCACAGAGAAGTACCCATTCTGACAAAGCTGTCAGCCTGAAAGCCTCTGAAGTCTCAGGCTTTCTGATCAAAAGAGGTGAGAGTCTGCCTGCCTCAGTGTTTCTGTTTTGAAAATAAACATTAAATGCAACTTTATTTAGTGGAAAGCTTTTGAAAATGGTTCTAAAGAAACCAAACCAGAAAAACCTGCTGATCTGAAGGTGGCTTTTAATTCTGTCATAACTGTTTGCCTTTTTAGGCCCCTCTGTCTATACCTGTTTGTTATTGTTCATTTACTGCACAATACCACTTAACATTTAAGAGAGCTAAATGGTTGATAAAACTTCTAACTAAACTAGTGTTTCAGGCAGATATGTTGACATCTGTAATTTTGTAAAGATTTTCAACTATGACATTGTTTTCAGCTGTAAATAGGTCTAGTGGATTGTTCCTTTTCAAAGACTGATTTTTCTGCTGGGTCTCTAAATTGGTATATTGGAAAAGCAAAGGTGTTGCAAGATGAGCTACATTTAACAAAAATGCCAGGGTTTGGATGTGTAAATGACTGTGCGTGTTTGCTAGGGGAATCATTAACTCTTTGTCAAAACTTATTAGCTGCTGTTGTTTTCTGTTTGACTTCTTGCATCTCTGTGTCTTAGCATGTGTGTTCTGTTCTGTGTTTTTAGGTCCTGCAGCATGTCCGCCTGCCGCTGCTGAGTCCCAAGTTTCTTGTGGGTACAGTGGGTTCTGATCCGCTTATTAAGAGCGATGCGGAATGCCGGTAAATCTCCTCACTGATTTACAGAATTGGATTTTGTGGTATTGGCATCTGTTCTCTGAAACTGTGCTGATTTGTCAGTGGTAAATGGGTGATAACTCACTATTTCCTCTTTTGCAACTGGGAGGAGGTGAGATGGAAGAAAAAGTGTTTTCTATTTGCGTAATAGTCAGTAGCTTGCCCTAGAAGTGTTTTTTGTTCTTTGAAGTTTTCAGTGAAATAGCAAAATCTGAGTGTGCAGTTTGACTCTTGATAAAATAGCCTTCAGTGTGGTGTTTTCCATTTCACCTTCTTTATTTCTCTAATTATGGCCTTTGATTACAGCTTATCACTTGCACGGCATTCATGATCTCATTAGGAGTTAAAGTATTTTTTCTCTGTAAAACATCTGTGCTTTGATAATTGAATAGGACTCTGGGATTATAGTCTGCTATTTCCCGCAATGCTAGTGCAGGGAAACTGTCATTTCCTCCTCTTATGGTATGAATCTTACCTTTCTGGTTCTGTGGAGTTCTGGATCATCTATAAAGCACGGAAGTTTTCTTGCTGTGCTTAATATAAAAAGGTTCAGGGGATAGGCTAAACTGTTCTCTTCCTGAGTGAGATTCATACTCAGGGAATTCCATGTTTGTAGAGGGAAGGAGGACTTTTTTTTTTTTTCTTTTTGTTTTATTCAAGGGTTTGGAATATTAGGATTAGTCCAGGTGACAAGTCATGAATGGATGGACAGTGTGAGCTGGCCAGAGCTGATGGAGAAAATATTCATCAGAAGGGTACTATCTCCATCTATTGGTCGTGTGTGTATTATGTATTTGTGTGTTTTTCAACTCCTGTTTTGTTCCTAGACAAAACAACTGGCGGCTAAGTTTTAGCTTGAGGCAGACTGGGTTGGATTTTTTCTGCACAGTAAGCCTGACACTTCAGAGTTTTTTTATCAGCCTTTAGAACAAGCAATATCTATTATTAACTCTAGCCAAATAGTGATACTGGTCTGCTGCTGTCAATGTGTAAATGACTTGTAAACAACTGAGGAGTATTTAGGTGACAGTGTACATTTTAACTAGAGTTATTCATGTACTTAGATGATTTGTGAATACCTGAAGTGCGTGACTATTGCTTGCTGCTCTTGCCACCAGTTTTGATTCATGCCTTCTCCTGATGCTGGAATCGGGTGAATTTTGGGAATTAATATTTTTCTGTCTTGCACAGGGATCTAGTGGATGAAGCTAAAAACTATCTGCTGTTGCCCCAAGAGCGGCCACTGATGCAAGGACCAAGAACCAGACCGCGCAAACCCATCCGCTGTGGGGAAGTGCTCTTTGCAGGGATGTATAGCTCTTGCTGGTCAGAAGATTGATCCTGGGTTTTCTGGTGGTAGTGTTCCCCTAAGGCAAATATTCACAACATATTTCTGAAGTGACCTGTGCATTAATATTTGGAGGTTTGGGTTAACTTATACTTTTTTACTTGTGTGATTTCTTTGGTGCTATGAACACCACAGTATGTCCAAACTTCAGTTAATCCTCTTGAAAATTACATTCTGCCTTCTAATTATAATCCTCAGAGCGAGTGACTCGGAGATGGGGCTGCTGGATTAAGGCTGACAAAGTCCAGAGGGGTTATTAGTGGCAGTCAGACATACAGTGTGTCGGCTCGGTGTGCTGTTTTGACACTGTTTCTTGTCTGATCCCTGCAGTGGGGGGCTGGTGTAGCGGGGACGCCATTTCCAGTGTCGAGCGCTACGACCCTCAAACCAACGAGTGGCGGATGGTGGCTTCCATGAGCAAAAGGCGCTGTGGCGTTGGAGTCAGCGTTCTGGATGATCTCCTCTATGCTGTGGGAGGCCATGATGGTTCCTCTTATCTTAACAGTGTAGAAAGGTAGGTCTTCACAAGGCCAATATGCACAATGTTAACTGAGTGTTTAAATGCAGGTGCAGCCTCTTAAATGTGTTCATTTTGTCAGCTGTGCTCTTGTTCTGCTGAAAACCTGAAATTTGTATTAATGTTATCTACATTTTCTTCTGCCTTGCATACACCTTCAGGATTGTGTTGGTTTACGGCTGATCTAGGACTTTGTGCCTAACAGCTTCTGTTATGTTATCCTCAGTGTAATTAGACAAGACGTAGCCCTTGGTATAAGGAAGAATATATAAGAGTTGGGTCTGGGTATAATTGGTGGGAGGGGTGATGATCCTGGTTAACCTTCTTTGCAATTGCTGGTTTGGTTTTGGTGTTGTTGAGGGGGGTGAGGTTACAGTAGGCATTTCTTAGATGTTCATGGAAGGATGCTGGAAGTTTATTGTAACAAGGGAATTAAGGAACCTTGGCACTTACACAGAAAGAAGGAAAATAGGTCAGTTTTAGACCTTTGAAAGACTTAAGCTTTACCAAGCTTCCTGTTTCTGGGAGCTGTGTATGGCAGTCCCCATGCCTAAAAGCCGAGTGACTCAAGCACTCCTAGTAATCTAAATGTTGGCCCTATACCAAGTCCAAGGAGCTATACAGATACCTCCTTCCTCTTCTCCTTTTCTTCTCACATACCTGCTTGCATGCTCCCAGACTCCCAAATGGTGATTCTGGCCTTTAATCTCCCATGTCATGTGCTTTTCTGCTATGCATCCTATTTCCTTGCCTTTGAATTCCCAAGTCCATCTGGTTCCTTTGTCTTTTGTCTCAAACTGCAGGTCCCAGTGCTGGCTGAATTCTTGTGAGAGCTGCAGAGAACATACAGCAGAGTAACTCTGGCTGCTGCTCTTTGCATAGATGCAAGTTAGCACATGCCAGCCAGTCCCTGGTAACCTGCTTTCTTATGAACCTGAACCTTTGATCTTCAGTTTGAATCATCTCAAGCTGCAGTTTCAACATCCTTGGAATAACATGTATTGGATGCATTCTATGACTTTAGGGGTTTTATCCAATTTACAAATAGCTGTGTTGCAGTTTGAGCTCAATATAGGCAAGTTTCACTGCCTTAGTAGCTCCCCAGCATGGGAGAGTCTGCAGCATACCTAGACAGGCAATTTATACTGTTTGGTGTGTTTTTCTAGGTATGATCCGAAGACCAATCAGTGGAGCAGTGATGTGGCCCCCACCAGCACCTGCAGGACCAGTGTTGGAGTGGCAGTTCTTGGAGGCTACCTCTATGCTGTGGGTGGCCAGGATGGTGTCTCTTGTCTCAACATTGTGGAAAGGTAAAAAAAAAAAAAAAGGGGGAGGAAAAAAATAAAAACAGTGGGACACAGGGACAAGAGGATCTCTTAGAAGGTATAATTGATGTAGATTAGCTGGGGCAGAGGTACGTACTGTACGGATCCTATGGGGATTTTTGTTTGGAGAGATTAAGATCAGGCCTCCTGCCCCTCTCTAAAGACACTGACACATCACGAAGCTTTGGCATTTATTCTTTTGCCAGGTACGATCCCAAAGAAAACAAGTGGACTCGAGTGGCTTCCATGAGCACCAGGCGGCTGGGAGTTGCAGTGGCTGTGCTGGGGGGATTCCTCTATGCCGTGGGAGGCTCTGATGGAACTTCTCCTCTCAATACTGGTATGCCTTTTACTGTCCTTTAATTGCAGTTATCGCTTGTCAAGGTCCTGTGTATCCTTAGAGTCCCCAGTTGGCTGTCTTAGTGATCAACTTGTGGTGTTTCTTCTTCTTTCCTGTATGGCAAAAATAGTACTAAATTACTCTCCAGGCTTGGGAACCCCCATTACCTGGTTGTGCATTGTTTGTTTTTTTTCTTGATGCTGCATTTGACAGTGTGTCCTGAATACAATACTTTGATTTTTTTTGCATAACAGTTGCAAGCACATCTTTTTCCCTGCAGTAGCCCTTTTCTGCTCTCGGAAGGAAGGTGCCAAAGGTAAAACTACTGCAAGGTGGTAATGTAGGTCAGTTTGTAGCATTGCCAGCTCCCTCCTGAGTGAAGATGCTGAATGTTACTGATTGTGTAGGGTTGGAGACAGGAGAGATAATAGCAAGCATTCTATAGAAGAAAAAGCATTAGAGTGAGAAATAAACTGGGTTGTAGTTATTTTTGGTGTGTGGAAATTGTAGCATCTCCTCAAATCTAGGAGTACTTGGGATGAAGGCTCTATAGTGCTAACCCCCACTGCTCGCCAGCCTTGTTCTCCAAAGGTGTGTTGTTTCCTCTGCAGTGGAACGCTACAATCCCCAGGAGAACCGCTGGCACACGATTGCACCCATGGGGACGAGGAGGAAGCACCTGGGCTGTGCAGTGTACCAAGACATGATATATGCTGTGGGAGGCAGAGATGATACAACGGAGCTCAGCAGCGCCGAGAGATACAACCCTCGAACCAACCAGTGGTCTCCTGTGGTGGCCATGACATCTCGACGGAGTGGAGTGAGTTTGGCTTGTTTTGCTTGTCTTCGGAATCACATGGGGAGAGCACAGGCTGGAGCATCATCTTGTGAGGCTTTTCTCTTGCTTCATCTGTACCTTCACTGTTCTTCTGTGACGGGAAGGGTTTGCAAAAATTCAAAGTTCTTTAGCAAGACTGGAGAACAAAGTGATAGTCTTGTCATGCCACAGACAGCTGTTTGACATGCCTGAGGATGGAGAAATGCAGTCATTTGAGGGTCTTTTTTAGTAGTGTTGGTCTCTTATATGAAGTCAACTACTTAAGCCTGAAACAGAGCAGTTCTTTAGGTTTTTTTACTTGGTGATGCAGCCATACTTGGTAGGAGATAGTATTAGAGAACACTATCAAAATTAGTAACTGAGTCTCTTTGGATGAATTTGGAGGTAAACATACCCACTTGCCCAGAAAAGAGAGCTGGGAAACAGGGCAAGCATGTGTTTAGGTACAAACTTCTAGCAAAGTCTTTCCATTGCTTTGAGGTGTGTGTGGGAAGAGGGTTTCTGGGCTTCCACTTACTATGTTGCCTCTCTTCATCAAATCCAGTGAGTATGGGAAGTGACAGCATGTTCTTTTCAACTGCTAAGCTTTGTGCTTTCAGTAGACTTGTGAATAAAAGATTAACGTACTGTTTGAAGTAGTCATCGTGTTTGGGCAGATGTAAATGCTATGAATATTTATCACTGGATATTTGATTATATAGTAAAGAGTGGATTAATTCTGTCTGTATGTTAGTATTTCAGTGTCTGGTGAGGCGAAGTATGAATCATAATTTGAGCAACTGCTGGTTTTAGAGGCAGAGAAGATGTATTTATTTCTGTCCTCAAAGCATATAGTATGCTGCCCAATACTGCCCTTTTTAGTTGTTAGGCATTGACTTCTCATGAGCTGCTTCTAAATTTGCTTTCTGTAGAAACTGCTAAACAGCTGCGTGTAACATCAGCTCTCCTGTGTTTTCTAACTCTCAAAGCCAAAACAAAGATTGTTTAATATTGTGTCCTTGTCATCTTTTCTCTGTTGATGCCATGAGATGTTTTCACTGGAAGTGATCTTCCTGAACCACAGAAGTTTTTGAGATATCAGTGATTTTGTGCTTTGGCAGAAAGGCTGGAGGCCAAAGTGCTTACAGATGGTCCAAGCCCCAGCCTGATAGGAGCAGGCCAGGGGCTTACATATGGTTCTCCTAGTTTAAGCAAGTGTTCCAGGCTGTAGCCTTGTAGATAGTCTAGTGCTTGTGTGTCACACATGGTGAAGGGTTTCAGTCCAGGACATGGTAAATTTGGGCTAATAAAGGCCGAGGTTCTATCTATTCCAATTCAAGCAGGTTTTTTTACTTTTTCGTTAAGAGGTTCTTTATTTTGCCATGAATATTCAACTTTTCATGTCTTATTATTTGTTTTAGTCTATTTTACTTGTCCTTTTTCCTCCCTCCAGCCAAAATACCTCTACTGCAGACTGCCTTTCACCAAACATGGTTACTAAATCCATGCATTGATATTTTCATTGTATCTTTTCAGGACCTGTCTTTTCAGGACATCCCATCTAAATAGCTACTATCTGTGGTGGTTGTTTTGCAGGTTGGCCTCGCCGTGGTGAATGGACAGCTGATGGCAGTGGGAGGTTTTGATGGCACGACGTACTTGAAAACCATTGAGGTGTTTGATCCAGATGCTAACACATGGAGGTAACCGTTAAGTTTGTGAGACAGCCCAGTAGTGATCTCCAGGTGGAGCTGCTGCCACCCAGATGGAGCTCTCCCAGCCAAATTAGAAATGTGGTGTGCACCATAGTGAAGAACTTGGGTGTGGTAGTCACCATAACAGGATAGGACAAATAAATGGATAGGACAAGAGGAAATGGCCTCAAGTTGCACTGAGAGGGTTTAGGTTTCATATTAGGAAAAATCTCTCCACCAGAAGGGTTGCCAGACCCTAGCCCAGGCCAGTGATAGAGTCCCCATCCATCCCTGGAGGGATTTAAAAGCTGTGGAGATGTGGTGCTGAGGGACACGGCTTAGTAGTGCCCTGACAGTATTGGGTTGACAGTTTGACTTGATGATCTTAAAGGTCTCTTCCAACCACAAGAATTGTTTGATTCTGTGACTCTGACGTTCGTATTGTGGCTTGTTGATTTGCTCGAAAGCATAAGAAAGGGAACCATGTTTTGCAAAATGTCCTAATATGCCATTTACCTGTAACATCCCCATGTCTACAGCTATAGGAGTTAGCAGGCAGCTGAGAAACATTTTCTTGCAGATTTCTGCCTAAATTCCAGCTGGTGTCTCAGTTTTAAGTAAAATAGGAGCGAGTTTTTGATAGTTTTTCCCATCTGAGTATCCCAGCAGATTCAAACAGCACTTAATGAATAAAGTTGAACCTGGATGCAATCCTGTGCAGCCTGCTCTAGGTGAACCTGCTTTAGCCAGGGGGGTTGGACCAGGTGATACCAGAGATCACTTCCAACCCCCCTACTATTCTGTGATTTTGTGGAAGTCTCATTACATCTTTTTCAAGAAGGGGGATGATGTGTAGGTAGATTACAGAGAAAATAAAGAATTTAGCAGGCTTGTTGGGTAGCAAGCAAAAGGTCATACCAAAACCTAGTTTGATTTTTCCAGTACTGCTTTTGGACATAACAAAAATGGACCACACTGGGAGAGAAATTCCTCATCTCTTTATTTTGGTCTCTTCTCTTCTGCTTCCCAATAAAACTAGGCTTGCTTGTAGCAGGAGGAGATTGACAGTCATGATGTAGAATTTGGCCTACTCGTTTTTTACTTTCAAGCTGAGGCTCTGATTTCCAGATCTTTTTTGAGGAGCTGAAATAAAACACTTTTGAGCATATGATGTTTTTCCCCTTTAAATCTGCAAGATAGCAATTAGATGAAATTCATACTATTTTCAATCTGAAATAATAACAGAACTGCTGATCAAAACTTTGTACTAAACAGCAAGGCTATTTTTCATTTCTTTTCTAGTCATAACTATACTTGGAAGCAATTACCTGAGTAGTTATTCCCAAATCTAATTAGTATTAAACTTCAGGCTCCTGTCTGTATTCTTGCTGCTTTAGTAATCTCACAGGGATGGGGAATAGAAACAATTTGATGTCCTTATTCCTTCCAGCCTAGTAATACTAGTAGATTAACCCTTTCTTGCTGAGATAAGCTATCATAAAAAGCAGTGGAGGAATTTCTTGTTATTTGAGCTATGGACAGTGCCTTTTGGACTGCTGAGAAAACCAGTTGAGCAGAGTGACACCTACTTCATTTTTGCCGAGCTGAGTGGTGTCCACTACTTCCAGTGACAGTAACAGCAGTAAGATGTCTCGAGTTAGGAGATACTGCCTGGGGTGGCATTCACAGAAATTTAGTAGGTCATTCAAGGCATTGGCTTGTGGGATTTTTCTCCCACTGCATTTGATATAGCTGATCAATGTCTGTGTTCTTCTCTTTCATTTGCTGAACATCTCACTCTGTGAGGGATATCTTCTTTCTGTGTAGCCTGCCTAAGAAATGCTCCCAGTGTGACTAGCGTTTAACAAATTGCATTGGTAGGAGTTGTTTGAAGAACTGGTTCTCCCGTTTCTGCAGCAGGCTTGGGTGGCACAGGGGAATATGTAGCTGAAGTGAATAGGATGTTGGAGTCTATAGGGATCAGATTTCCATATGAAATGCAGGCACCATTTCAGTAACATATTCTGGAGAAACAGATGGTGCTTAGGATGTGTTATATCTTGGTTGGATCATCTGAATTTAGGATATTACAATAATTTCTTCTCTAAGTAACTGAATTGCAAGTAGTAAACCTATCTTTTGCTCTTGTGCTGCCCAAAATGTAGCTCAAGGTCAGCTACAGCCTATAAAGTTCTCTTCTCTCTTGCACATTACCAGACCAGAGGTTAACGATGGTGTGAGTGTTCACAGGGGCTGGTTCTGTCTCTGCCACGGTCGCTCCGTGGAGGAGCTGAGCCCAGGTGGTCACAGAAGCCGTGTCTTTGCAGGCTGTACGGCGGGATGAACTACCGGCGGCTGGGAGGAGGCGTGGGCGTTATCAAAATGACACACTGTGAATCCCATATATGGTAAGCATCAAGAGGGAGGGAGACCCTTTGGTTCTCATTCCTAGAAAAACTGAAGAGACTTGTTGACACTGGACCTCTTTGCAGCTCTGGTATGCACGGTCTAGATCCAATGTAACTCTTTGCTGGTGACTCTTTCTGTGGAATTAGAAAAAAAGACTTCTGTGAGAGTGTGCCCAATGGGAGACCACGTTGTCAGACTCCAGGGAACCACTGGACAAGAGTAGAAGTGTTGCTTATGCCCACATTTTTTCTAAGTAGTCTACATTTTTGAATAAACCAAATTGTAAAAGTTGTAGCGTAACCAGTGCTGACGCAGAGACGACGTGTCACGGGGGGCGTCTGGCGGGGGGGAGCTTCCTGCCGCCCTCCCGCTGCGGGGCGGGCGACAGAGGAGGGCGACACAGGAAACGTTGCTTTTGCCTTATTTACAGAGAGCTTCAAAAAAGTACTTGACCTGCAAGGTGCCACCTTTGCACAGGAGCTTTTCTGTGCACAGAGTATATTTATTTTTTCATTTAATTTGTATCATGTGTTTTCTTTGTATCGCTCACAGCGATAATTCCAGCTTTTTATATACGTCTCTGTGTGCATATATATATATATATGTATTTTATATATGTATATGTGCGTGTGCGATTTGAGTTCTGACAAGCTGGTTGTTAGGGCAGGGCTATGTCCTGCCAGCTGTTGTGGTTCCAACCCTTGTGGTATGTTTTAGGGTCTCTTAGATTACAGGAGTTCTATGAGGATGGGTGCCCTGAATATCTTTTCAGTCTTGCTGGAGGCAAGAAGTAGAACTGGAACTTTCATCTAGCAACTGAATCAGTGAAGTGCCCCAAAAGGGTGAGAGTGAAAAGGATTTCAAGTGATGCCTTTTTTCTCTAGCGTGTGGTACAAAAGTTCAGCTTTTGTCTCTCCCCTCCGCTGTATATGAACCTAGAAACAACTAGTTGTTGCTTACTTACAAAACAGCTTTTTCTGATCTTGCCTGCTAGGTATCAGTCAGAAGGTGGGATTGCAGGTATCATCTGTTTATCCCAACTAGCCTAGATCAACACTGACTTCTCAGGTCCTTGCTAGAATGGCAGACCCATAGTCAGCTCCTGTGGAAAAAAGCTTGGACCAGCATCATCTTAGCTGCCCTCCTGCCTCTTGCCTGTGACTTGGTAACTGTTTTAAAACAGGAGTTCTAGTGATGAGGTGGGATCCTCCATTTTCATTATTTTTATGCACTTATCCTGTGTTTGTTTAGAGCAGGAAAAGGCTCATTCAAGAGTCTGGAGGGGGGGAAATGTTTGCTGGCATGGTAGCTGCTGTTTTGGTGACTGCAGGGCCACCCAGGGGTGGGGGGAGAGGAAGGAGGAACTCTAGACTCAAAAAGTTCCAATATGTTTGTACTGTAACTTTTATCTAGTATAAAAGAATGACTTTTTGCACCTGATAGAACTTTGGACCTTAATAAATCTGATCTTAAAAAAAGAGGACTGTAAATTCTTGAGATTAAAAATGCAGTGCTGACATCTTATGTTCTTTAACTTCATAGTTTGATTCACGTAACTCAGATTCTAATGTGCTTGAATATAGTAAAAATCACATTAAAGTAATAAATGGGTCATTAAAACTTTTTTAAAGCCCCTTTTCCCCTAAAGGTTGGTATTCTTGTGTTTACATATGAAGATCATTTGCACCTTTACAAGGAAGACAAGTATGCTGTAAACAAATGTTTACATGTATCATTTATGCTTTTTTCTAGCATGAGTAACTTGTATAAATAGTGCTATCTTAATAAATTTCTTCTATGCTGTTCTTTGTTCCTTTGGGTGAAAGGGGTGGACTGTACTTTTGTATAGTTTGTGTGGACACAGATACTGGTGGTTGGTTGGGGTTTTTTTTCAGATACCAGTCTAAAACTAGCTTAAAACTCTATTTAGTGCTAACCCTCAATTGCTTAGAAGCATATAATTTAGAATTGGCTTTTTCTGGAAGAAAGCATCTGCACTATCTAGTCCAATCTAACTCTGTTCATGTAACCACAGTTATCAGTTAGAGCTATTCCCCAAGCTACAAGAACCATGTAAAAAAGAGCAGAAAGTAGCTTTTAATTCCAGGAATCCCTCACAGGAAGGCTGTAGTGGGTACCACAAAGACATAGCAAAGCATCACTCTTGAAAGCTGGGTGTGGCTGTAGTTCATACACATACTTCACTGGATTTTCTTGTGCTATTAGTCTGTGGCCTTAAGGCAAGGAGGAGGTTAAAAGAAGCTATATGGAATTTTCTTTTTCCAAGATTATTTATGCAAATTTGTTGGAAAGAGCTGGGCATTAGATTTAAGACTAAGCCACAAGTGTAACAGTCCTGTTTTCAAATTAGATAGATGCCAGTTATGTCAGACCTCCTACTCCTGCTTTACCCAGTGTTCCTCTGAACTGAGATTATGAAACATTTTAGACTGAGTTTCCTAAAGGAAACTAAAGCACCAAAAATGATCGTTGAAATAGCTGCTGAGCTGTCAAGACCTTCAGAAAATTCTTAGCTGCTTCTACCAGGATAAGAGTTCTCCTTACAGACTGCAACCTTTACACACAAAAATAATCCATCTTCAATTAGTAAACAAAAAAACAAGTGCATGTTTCTTTGCCTAATTCTGGAAGTAGATCACTAAAAGTCAGTTGGGGACAAGGCATACAATTATGTCCTATGAGGCAGGTAACATGTCTGTGTGGGGAGAAGAAAGTTCTTAGTTACAGCTGACAAATTCTGAAACTACCTCGTTAGGCAAAGAAGGGAAAACTTGCATCCCTGCTTAGGAGCCTTTATTTTGGCAGAAGTTGACAAATATTTTTAGTAATGTAATACAAAAATTGTAACATTCAGCATGCACTTACTCTACTTCCTTTCTGCTTGTTTAAGCTACAGCCAGGCACTGTGCACTAGCTTTCTGACCTATCTGCTGTAAAAGGGAGAGATCTAGTATAGAATTACAGCATCTGTAGCTCCAACCCTGAGAGCTCTCTGGTCTACAGGATTACATCCAAGACAACAAACATCAGGCAAAGCATAGTAAATATCTAGTTTATACACAGACTTTAATTTCCTATGTATTAACTTGGCTGATGGGACCAACACGGTGGACAGACAGGGCAGCTGTCAGTCTTATGCTGTCCATCTGAGCCCAGCTACAATATAGATGAGCACTTAATGACCATTAGCAAGCTACAAAGGAACTTGGAAACAACAGAAATACCTGTCAAAAAGTTGCATCCAGGAATTTACAAATTTCACCTCCAAGCCCCAAGCTGGTGACTACATAAAAATGAACAGAATGACTATGATAGAACAAAAGTGCTTAAGAAGCTATTAAAGGTTTGTACTGTAGCCCTGCTTTAGGGCAAAATGTCTGCTTGGCTTCACTGTCCACGATGTCAAGTTACAGCCAGTTACAAACTTGAATACTGGAGTTTAGAGTCCAACTTAGGACATGTTGGACATGACTTGTCCAGCGTGAAAGGAAAGAAGATGATGCAGGAGTGAGTTTCAAGTTGGTTTCTCAGCATACATCATCTTCCAGCAGCATGAGGATTTGCTGAAATGACTCTCACTGTATCTGAGAGATTGCTAGTTCTGTCAGTAGCATCAGCACTCCAGTTAGGTATTGGCTTTCTAGAAACTGCAAAAAAAGAAGAAAAAGCACATAAGAATTGCAGTAGCCAGCTTTCCATGTTCTTAGACAGCTGCAAACTAATTATCAAGTCTCCCATGTGATACATCAGCTGCTCTGTTGTTTGGAAGGGACCTTTAACTGTTTTGACACTGGATGTGGAGAAGACAGACACCTGTACACTGCTCCTTTCAGAGCCCGCTCACTTCTGCTCCTGTCCCATGTGAAGCAGGGTACCTAAGTGTCCTGATCCAGCTTTTTGGAAGGTGAGAAGCCTAGCACTTCAGCTCTTTTGGCTACCTCCCTCCTTCTGTAGGAAGACAACTGTGCCAGTTTCCATGAATACCCCCATTTTCCCATACTGAATATACAGCTGACTTGATCTCATTATCCACGTTATGGAAGAGCAGTAACTGAGCTGACAACGCACGTTCCACAAAAAAACCCTTCCTCAGAGTATCTGGTGTTTACTTACTGGCAACAAAAATTGTTTCAGGCACTTTTAAAACTGTTACAGACAAAAACAAGTCATGAAACAGTAATATTCAGTGGTTTGCAGTTGCCCTACTGAAGGCCAAAATTAAGATATGCTTCCCAGCAAAGCTTATTTTGCTTTGTTTGACGAACTCGTGCTCCAGGAAAGATGCAAGAGCAGGGTCTCGGCTGTAGCATCTAACAGTGGCTCTGTACCCAGTACAATAAAGTCAGCACATCATACAGACTAAATTTAAGCTATTGCATTTACCAAACTGATCTTTAACACAGCAGATAAAGTTGTATTGCTTGAGGAGACTTCAGGAAGGATTAATGCTCCACAGTTTTAAAGGTTATTATAGATGCCTCAATAGGGAGGCCATCACCTTTATGAAAAAGCGTTACAAGTGAAGTAGCTTTAAGCAAGGTGTTTTGACTCTTAAGATTACCTGTTGTCTCTTGGCTCACCCACACACCAGTTATTTTGATACAGGTTAATTATATTTGTTTTCTGCCTGTGTCTTAATGCAACAGTAGAAAGCTATTAAAAAAAAAAATAAAAAAAATTAAGGGTTTTGGTTATGCTTTGGCTCTGTTTAAGCCTAAGTTTTGGCCAACAGCCAAAGAAACTTTCCTGTTTATACTGCAGCTAATAAACCTATTTCTGGCCCAAGACAGGTTAGTAGCTTCTGCTGCAATACAGCAGAAAATAACTGTATTGATAGCTGCCCAACTCCAGAACTAATAAAATATAAGGGTATAACAGCTTCTTGTAGAAAATTATGCAAAAGAAACATGAAACTTTAATTTTTAAACGTAAGACATTTCTAAACACGTAGGGCTATTTTATTTGTCCAGCATTAGTTAGAACGTGCTACTTTAAACCTTACCTTTATAAACCCATCACAGTGTGCTGAGGCAATTGCTGTTGAAACTTTCACCAGTTTTGTAGCAGACAAGTGGATCTTAAAATGTCTGTGGAAGTGAGAGTAAAGACAGTCCATAAAGACATCCACCTCTTCTTGCGTGATCTCTCCTGGAGTTTTTTGGACCGTGTCCCACAGAGCTTTTGCATCCTCTGGATGAATGGCATATGAAATATCCAGAGGCTGGGGCAGGCGGGGGACAG